AGAGCTGCTCAGGAGATTTTTCTCAAAATATCGTTGTGGCATAATATTTTGGTCACAATGTTGTTTATGCCAGCACCATATAATCTGAAGAAAAGCTACAACATAAGCATCACTATCAACTCTACTTTTGTGTTTCTGCCATTGCCAGCACAGTTACATGAGCTGGCATGTTTCAGTGCTGAGGCTACTCATGGATCCAAGTTGCGGGGTAATTGAGGGAACTGAGGAAGATGTAAGTATAAAATACAGCAACAAACATCCACAAGCCTAAAGGAGCCTTTCTAACGACCTTCTTGCTTGACTCACCTTTCATGTCCTGAAGCTTTTTTATGGGGATGATATAAAGAAGAAAGTAGAGAGTCAAAATAAAATCATCTGCATAACCCAGTTTTATTTAATATTAATTTTATGAAGCACTTCATTAAAACACCTATTAAAACCAACTGAAAGGGTTTGAGTCACCTGTCACAATTTTTTTTTACAATTGAATTTTTTGTGATTCATTCTTTGGCAGGAAAATCAAGCTCACATCTTTCAAAGAAATAGCAGAACAGAAAAGATTTCTTTTAGTAGGAACATATGCTTGAATATTGCTTTAGGATAGAGCTCAGTGCCTCAAAGAGAAATGCTGAAGTATTTATTGCAAACAGGCAGGGCTTTCTACAGTTGTCATTGGTAAAATCACTTTGAAATGAAAGATCTGACCAGAACTGTGATTCGCTACCTAAAAATATTGCACCACATGAGAAAAAATGAAATTATACATCTTGAAATACAAACATTGCTTTCAAGCTCCCTTATAAAATGCTTGTTCAGTTTTATGGTAGGTACACCCCTTATTTTTATGGTGCAACCTATTTATTTCAGACGTTTAAGGCTTTGCTACATGTAGAAGAGGCAACATTAGAAAAACAAACACAGTAGTTAGAAGTTGTGAACTACATTTGCACAAAAAGAGAGGAAATGAACTCAAAGATAAAATTAATTGTGAAGCAAACTCTCATAGTTTAGTCAGATATTGATTTGCATCTTAGATCTCTTTTCAGTTGCAGGAATTAAATGGAAATCCATGCCATGGCCTTGCTTCCATGACTGTCAGAATTCAGGTTGCCCTGGAGACATGATGCTGCATTCATGGAAGGATAAGAGAGAGGATTCAGCCCTGCTGTTCTTTGGGGACCATGCTCCCAAAATTCTTATGTGGGCCTCCTCTGACACCTGAGAGCTTGAAGACAAAGCCAGCCAGCCAAGTATTTGTAATGCGAGATGCTACTGTAAATTAAATGCTTACTAATGAAAGATCAGAGGGATCACTTTAAAAAGCTAGCTTCCTATTTCTCTGCATGCCTTTGGGAAATACCTAATCATGCTTTTTAGCAGCATAGCCACAGGCACTGTATATTTAAAGCAAGCACAGCAGCAAAATCTCTGTCTTATACAAAGGTGTGACACTGGGTAATGACAAGTAACATCCTGGATATAAGAATATACTTGATTAGGACAGTTCTTAAATCCACATACATATGTATCCAAATCATTCATCTGTAAACATTGGATAGTATCTGCTGGAAATGGAAAGTAGAACAAGCCAGCCTTACAGGCAGAGCTTGCTGTGGAGGTATGTAAATCTCTCAGCAGGTCAATACATTATTTCCTCTGTCACATATAGGATTTACTGCTCCTGTCAGCGTACTGTCCTGTTAATATTGTTGCACAAGAGGCTGGAGTTCAGGAAGGGCTTTGGTACTCAGAGAACAAAAGCTTCGCATGTGACATCAAGGCGAGTGTACCCACGCAGCCCCTCTGAGCCTTGGGACAAATGAGTGCAGCTCAACTCCCTTTTTGCATCGCCTAGCAGCAAATTGAGCATGGAGTGGAATGAGGACAGCAGTGAGGGGACTTAGGAATACTGACTTCTTTGACGTGTAGGCCAGAAGTTGGAAGCACTTACCAAAACCTGTAAAATGGGAATGGAATGGAGGATACTGATAAAGATCCTGTGCTGTGAACAGGAAGCTTCACACTGCTGCTAAAAGAAAAGAAGACACAGGCATACAAAAGAAAGCAACGCTGGTGCTGCTCTGTACAGAATGGCACCTGTGTCCTCCAACACTTCATGACCAGATTCACAGTCCTTGCAGGGCGACTGTGAGTGGTGCTGGACAGAAAGACAGCAATGCACAGGAGATAAGCAAACATGAAGAAAATAAGATTGAAGGCAAAGATGATCACAAACCATATTACTGCTGGGGAAAGGAGACACCTTCCTATAATTGAATTCTTGTAATTTAGGAGGGATTATATAATTTCTGTGAGTCAAGAGGTGCCCAAATGCTTTGCTGAACGCCCAGGCCCATGGCTTCCGAGTTTGCAGCCAACAGCAAACACAGGTGTCAAATGCAGAACTGCCTTTCCCCCATCCTGTCTCCTCAGGTTGTCAGTGGAAAGAGACTAGCAGTCATCGATGGAACTAACTTCTACAAATTTATTAAAAACATTTTTCATCTAACTTCCTTAATAGCTTTAACCTTTGCCATAACTGTGGCAATAAATGCCACACTTTTGATAAACATTTCACTAATTATCTCAGGCTTTGATCTACGCCTCTGAAGTTGCATACTGGCAACTTCAGTGCATCCCAGGCACTGGAACTAGAAGTCTGTGTTGGAGCTGCCCTGTTCTACTGGAATAGTGAATAAAGGCTTTCTTGAACATGTTTTAGTAGACTCCATTTAAGTAGATAATGTGAATAAAGAGGGCCATATTCAGAATCTACAATAGTAACAAACATTAATTGCACAGTAATAGTTATTGAAGACAATATGCAATGTGATCACATCTTGTGCTTCCTTCGGGGCATACCACTATCATAATTAATAATGTTATTTAATAGCAACAGTAGGGCAAATGCAGCTTATAAATTCAATGGCAAGGTTAATAAATGGGATCTGATCATTAGTTAGGTACAGCTGAACAATTTATGAAGAATTTTAAGACTTTCCCTAGAGGTGGTGAATCAGGTCTGATGTGCTTGCCTCCTTTAGTGAGCAACAGGAATGAAAAGTAAATAAGTAGAGATGTGAAACAGCCTAGTCTCCTCTTTATCATGCTCTTCCTCTAAACTATTTTTTTTTAATACCAGAATTAAAATGACTTTGTAGCATGGACTTTTGAAAGAAACTATAATTCAGAGCCTAGCCTGATTCGGGACTCAACTTTATAATATCTTCTTACTGGTCGTGGAGTTCTCTACCTTAGTAATTCATGTGCAAAAGGCTGTTTCCTGTCTTGACAGGTTTACAATTTAGGTAATACTTGTAAAAGAAAAAAAAAGAACAATTGCAGTAACAATTTGTCTCCTAAAAGGTGGAGCCTTTGGTGTTTCTGCTTATTCTGATATTCCTCCAGCATGCACAGTCCTACCATGACCTGTAAATGGTACATTTACAGGTCTGTGCAATAATTCTTGAGCAGGTACAAACAAGCCAGGGCTTACTATCAGTATCATGTTACTTGACTTAATATACTGTTGAGAGGATTTGAACTCTGGTAAGTAGCATGGTTGCAAAGTCTTTCTCCCTATTGCAAAGATAAATGCATTAGTTTAAAACCATCTTAGAGGTGAGATGAGATAACAGCAAGCACATGGGCACCTATGATACTTCAGCTGTCAAGTATGTTGCAAACCCAAGTAACTCAGCTGATTTTGATTGGCATGCTCTTCATCCACAAGGAAAGAGGGTTAAGTGAAGGGTACTGACAGACAAGCTTTGGCTGAGCTTCACGTGCGGGAACTGAAGAATACACAGTGCTACTGCTCCCACAGACAAAGGAAAGATACCTTACTCACCCCAGTGCTATGTCACTCAATATCCATAAAGCAGTTCACTCTTCAATACCAGGGCAAAGGAACGGAACTAAAAGGTGGAGGTAGCTTGTTGGGCTTGTTTTTTTACGTAGTACAGCAAGTACAGCCTGTCAGTGTCCATATAATTACACTATCCTATATTTAGAACAAGTCAATAATACACATGCACATAATACATATGCATACCATATATACCATTAGCTGGTGTGCAGTAATGTGCTTGACAGCATTAAGTTGAGCAGTGTGACTGTTGCCCTGGCTGGATCCTGAATCTCCAGTTTGAAGCTGCCTGTGAATATCACCATGGTGAAGTTACAAAAGAAAACAAGAATGGTGAAATCAATGGTGAGGTGAGGTTTCTAAAAGGTAACTGAAAATGTAAGGATTTTTATTGTCAAGGACTGCAGTGCTACAGCAGAAGAGGAATTATATTTCTAAAGAATAAGTAGGATAGTTGGCAGAAGAATATTTTTTGGTAGATGGTTACAGTCAGAGGATAATATACCCAGAATCAGGCTCTTCTCTGAGAAATACCATTCACAGGTAAAAGAAAGTTCTTTTTAAAAGTCTGTTCTTCCAGTGGACAAGGAAAGTTCTAATTTGGTCAGCTTCGAATCACAACCGAACAAAATGAAAAACAGATTACTCTTCAAGCACGGATACTAGAATAACTTGGCAGATTATTATAGAGACAGAAGTAGCAGCGTATGCCATGCAGTGCTTTGCAAACTGCATTGTTTGGACCCCAATCTATCTGTGCCTCCAGGGATAGAAGCACATCGCGAGTGAACACTGACCTCTAGTGGACAGAACAGTCAGACCTGGGAAAGGTCGCTGAATTTAAAATAGAAAGTACGTCATGGGCACGGCTGGCCCAAGGCTTGCGCTTGGCACGTCTACAGTCAGCATAGTTCTACTGTTACCAATCTCTCACTGTCTGTGTGTCAGAAAACATCATGTCTATTGTGAAATCTAGAGGCGATTTTTTTATGGCCAAAAGAAAGCAGTGCAGTGCACACTTACAATTTGCTTAGTAAGACACAGAAGTCCAACTACTGGTCAGTAAAATTAACTGAGGCTAAATTCACTCAACTTTTTAGATATTTATTTAATAACCTGCATTGTTGAGACTGTGTCAATGGATATTATCAAAGCGCTGATGTTTAAAGAAAATAATCCTAAGGAAATATGAAATATTAAGAGTCTTAGCCCTATTTTTATTACAATCAAAAAGTACAGAATGGTGAATGTTCATATATTTTCAATGTCTGCCCCAAAGGAGTTTGCTTGATTTTCACTTTCAAGTTATTTTGCATGGTAAAAGTCCTTTAAGTGTTTTGGAGCTCTTCTTTAAAATAACTCAAAGTAGAAAATCAATCCCATGCACAAAATTCCGTAACGCTTCAGCTGAAACTACTGAAGTTGGGTGCTCTCAAACAGTTAACATGCCATACAGGCTTCTCTTCCTCTGTTACTCAGGTCATATTTAACTTCATTCAACAGTATCACCCAGAAGTTAGTGAACACTGGAGTTTTTTGTGCTTTCACCACCCTAAAATAGTGAAGTTTCTGGAAAATGGTCAAGGAGGATCCATAAACATGGAGCTTGCATCTGGTCTTGCAGAAGGGTTTTGCCAGTTGTGTGGCTTGTCCTTGTCTCCTTTGCACCCTGTCTCACACAGTAATTGTTGTCCCACACCCCAGATATTTATTTTTGCCAGGGAAAGGAAGAGAAGGGAAGGAGAGGGGAGGGGAATCTCAAGACCCATGAATTCCGTATTGCAAGGCTGTGAAAGGAAGAACTTCTATGAGGAGAGCAGGATGCCAGACAATGCAGCAGACTTATTGTCTTAATACTATTCCAGAGTAAGAGATACTGTCTCAGTCTTTGATTGATATGAAGCCAATCTGTGTTCCAAAGTTAGTGCCATCACGAAAGTGAGAGTAAAATTTATCAGGGTGGCAGGCAGTACAGAAAGTGATATTTTGTTTCTGGTCTGTGACAGAATCATCTTGGATGTTCTCAGGAAGAACTCCACCTCTCTCAAGAAGAATCCTGAAAAAAAGAAAGAGAAACAGAAAATAATATTTTTTTGTACATCCTCACATTCTGTAAGGCACTATCTTTAAGGCAGGACCTCAAGTACCAGCTGAACAAACTGTGCCAATATTGTGATTGGGACTTTCATTTGCTTTTCTTTTTATTTTCTTCCAGAATTAGACTAAATTAATCGCTTTCCTGCAACCAGTAAAGCCACATAAAAATTGAACTTTTGTCTATAATCCAAAAGCCATCAGTATAACAATAAAATAATAGTTGAAACAGCAAAATTTGAGCAGATACCATTCCTTCAAAAGTATCATTTGTTGATCTGCAAAGTACTAGAGAGTACTTTAAGATGGTAAGGACCCTCAGCATATTAGTGGTGAATAACAGAATATCAAAGTAATTATTGATAACTAATGTGAAATTAGTCTTTTATTCACTCAGGAGGCTTACCGTGTTGCTCTTCTAATATCAATATAAGGATTTGCAGAGTCAAATAGTCTCACACACTTTGGATCAATTCTGTGAAATTCTTTTGCTGATTCACGAGGAAGTTTATAGCAGCAAGGTCCTACAGATGGGCCCAGCACCACAAGGATATCTTTCACATTACAGCCATATTCAGATACCATAGCATTTACTGTGGCCATAGACACTCCTAACAATGTGCCTTTCCATCCTGTGAGAAATGAGAGGTTGAAAAAAAATTTGTATACATTGTCTCTTTAATTTTCTAGCATATTCTAGAAATATATGCTATTATTAAAGGTATAAATTAGGAAATATATTTACACCTAAAATTTAAACAATATATCTAATAATAAATTATCTTTTTTGAAGAAACCAAAATGTACACATTAACAGCTACCAGTTTGCTGACATAATTTGGTGGAGATGGAAACTAAAGAGAAGCATTTAGTCTAGAATTCCAGAATTCTTTTTTCCCAGTGTCCTGGTTTGGGCAATTAGAGCATACCTTACAGCTCCTTTGTGCTTGAAACATTTAAATGGGAATACAACAACAGAAATACGTCAGAAATGTATTATTTTTATAGTATGGTGAAAGTGGTTTAATGTTACTTTAGAAAAAAAAAAGAGGCTCAAGATAGCGACATTTTTTGGAATAGACAGAAGCCAAGTTTGCACTTGGGCATTGTTTGGAATAGGTAGAAGAAAGTCCAGCTTTGAGTTCTTGTATCTCAATGTGAGTCCGGGGAAATCTTTGCATTGCACAGGGAGTGCAATTCCTACCAGAATGAGCAGCACCACAGGCTTTTCTGACAGGATCAGCAAATAGCACGGGTATGCAATCAGCACCTGGAGCTGCTAGCGTAACACCTTTCTGATTTGTAACTATGCCATCATAGCTGTCAGGCTCTGTCTTTCCCATAATACACACCGCATTAGCGTGATCAACCTGTCAAAACAAAACCAGAACATGGACAGTGATATGGCAGCAAAACAACCCAGTTCTGTCTAGTACAAGGTTTTTTCTTTGGCAAGAAACACTCTTCTGCACTAACTGATTATGCATGGAAATCAGGCACTCCCTTGTTCAAATGCCATGCAGATGTACCAGTAGAAAACCACTACAGAAGTGATGGTGTATTTTTCTTTTAGGAGGAACTGCTCTGATCACTTATCTGATTATTCTACTCTGTGGTAAGTTAAATGTTTGAACAGACTTGGAAGAATCAGCGTTGCTTCTCCATATTGTGCCAAATGGCTGATAGTTTGAATGGCTATTCTCTCAGATAAGCTGCCAGCTGCTTCTCACAAGTTCTTGCTGACAAAGGTAAGAATAATGCCTACAGTTTTAGCCAGTGACACACGAAGGAAGATCTGACTCATTTACTTAAATCCATTGCTTTATAAGATACCTTGACTCTGTGAAAAGCCTCTGGGTTAAATCCTGCAGCATTAGCTAGCCGACGGAGATTTTCTTTAACAACAACGTTTGGGTCCCTCCGCTTGGAACTGCTGAAGAGATTGCAGGAGCTTAGAGTTGGTATATATGAGATCCCACCTGTCCTTGTGGTGAACCCATGCAAGAAGGTACCATCTGGTAAGGCAAAAAAAGACAACAAATAATTGCTTTCAACACAAGATCAGGTCAGCTATTACATAGTTTATACTGAAGAGATCTGGAATCAGCCAATCAAGTTGAGTATTGCTTTACCTTGTATTTAGCTGTGGCATTTAAATTTAAGGATTCTAATTTTCTTCTTGCTCAGAATCATGCCATGGCAGGGACACTGAGACATCAGGCATGTCAGGGACCAGAAGAAACTCTTTCCCTGCCTTTCCAGATGATGATGGTAACTCTCCAAATGTGTAATTCACACACAGAGGGGAGGAGATTTTTTTGTCTGCAGTAATGCCCTCACTAAACCCAGGACTGTCTTTCCTCTGATTGTGCCCCAGGCCTGGAATAGACTTGCCAGTCTTTTGCTGTATTTCTACTGACACTTCTCCCTTTTATAGTCGTGATACACTATTACAACATGATATAGAGTTATTTGTTGCCTGAAGACATTTCCAAATTTTACCCGTTTTGCAATTCCCTTGAAGAAGTATGCTTGGTAACAGTCTCTGTAAAACTACTAGCTAGAACTCTCTTTACCTGGAATCAGGGAGGATCTGAGGATGGTGAGCTCCCCTTTCAGGCTTGGCAGGCTCTCCAAGTGCATCTGAATCTCACTTTGGATGAGTGCCATGTCCTGTGAAGGAAGTGTTTGCCCTTCACCTTGATGTTCAGATATCTGTAGGTTTTCAGAGCCAGATACCACCTGTAAATCCTCATATTCAAACTGGTAGACAGCTGTAAAGAGATGGTCTATATATGCTTTCATTAAGTCTTTTCTTAAGGTAGGGAGAATAACTTTAATGATGCTTAGGTCTTTTTCATCCAGTCTCTGTTTGATGGTGTACAAAGCAGCAGCTGTAGTCAGAGCACGTACCACCTCCAGTCTTCTCTTCAGACTCTGAAAACCTCCCAGAGCTGGAAGCAAGAACTCCTGTTCACCTTTCCTGTCACTCCACTGCCTCTGGCAACATATGACATAAACAAATGGAGCATGGATGGAAGAGCATTTCTCAATAGTTTCCAGTGTGTTGCATAGTAATCCTTGGATGTTGTTCTGCAAGTTGGCTGGGATGCTGAACAGATCTATTAGTACTGCTTCCACCATATTCCAGGATATTTAATTTCTACAACTGTAGTCCAAACACAGAATAATGGTATTAAGGCAATGAATTCAGTGATACTGGGTAGAGAAGGTACATAGCAGGTAATTACTAACTCAGGATTTCCTAGCTGCATCCAAAGAAATTGCAGCAAAAGAAAACTAGCAGAAATAGGAATTATTATGTATTTATTTAAGGATCTAGGTATTTCCTTACCACCCCACCTACCTCAGGTTTTTCCCAGGTCAGGGATGATGAAAGGTTGGTACATAAGATTAGATCTATTGAATCAATTAACCCACATTAGCCTAATGGATCCTAATTGACATCTGGTTGATGGGCCCTCCTCCAGCTTCCAGAGGGCAAGCAAATACAGAGGTCCCTTAGCTTGCTGGGACTGGAAGAGTTTCTGTAACAATTTTTTTGGAGCTGTTTAACACATCGCTGAAGTGGAGCTCCTGTCTGCTACCCCTCCTGGCAGCAGAGTGCTGGGCTGTGAGTGCAATGACATTTTTTCCCACAAGACCTTTTGTACTTCTCCCTTTCGCATTACCAAAAGTATTGACTTGCTAATTTCTAACTTCTGTGTCAAGGGGCACGTGATTGGTATCGTTCTTCTTTTCAGCACGCACAGGAACTCCGCACAGGTTACTGAAATTTCACCTAGTAACACAAGAAGCACTTAGAACTAAATTAAAATAATTAAATACTGTGCACAACTTCCTGCCTCAGTTTTATAACACTGCTAGCTGCACTCTTTGCTCTGAAATCAAGATGTGTTAAGCTTATCCCAAATCATCCTATGGTTCCTGTTTTCTCTTGTGGCCCATGGTATAATTCAAGGTTTGGTGGTTTGTTTTTTCCCCTTTCTGAACTTTGTTGATCCAAGCCCAGCTAGGCCTACGTGTGGAAACTTGTCCATCCACCTCTTCTTCTCTCTGTTGCTATGAGAGCCTATTTTTCATATCTTCCCAGAGGTGTCTTATTTTCTTTTCTCTCTCTCTGATAATCTTTCAGTTTCAAGTGCAAGCCTCCCGAGGTCTGGAACAAAAGGCTAGAACCCTCTGCTTTGGGAACCTCAAAGACATCTATTTAGACTTCATGACTAAGCACCATGCTTGATCTGGGAGAAATATACATAGCTTTGCCATCAGTTCTAAGACCCCATAATAATTTAGAGTATTCTTTAACACTGTAATTTTTTTTTTACAGCAACAAATTGTGCATGAATATTAATTTATTTGTAGGAAAATTCATATCTTTGCAGAAACAAAGAAATTGAGAAGTCTTATGAGTCTTTGAAATCAAGAAGTAGTGGGTACAGGAGTAACCATTAGGAGTACAAGGAATAATGGGCACAAACTGAAAGAGGGGAAAATTAAGCTAGATATTAGGAAGCAATTCTTTACTGTAAGGGTGGTGAGATACCAGAAGAGGTTGCCCAGGGAGGTTGTGGATGCCCTAACTCTGGCAGTGTTCAAGGCGAGGTTGGATGGGGCTTTGAGCAACCTGGTCTAGCAGGAGGTATCCCAGCCTAAGGCAAGGGGATTGGGACTAGGTGATCTTTAAGGTCCCTTCCAACCCTTAACGTTCTATGATTCTATGATCAATGCTCTGCTACCAGAGCTAACTGCATCAGATAATGCCCGGCACTATTTTTCTGCCCCAAGTCCTCCTTCTCCTGTAACTACATGCATGCTCTAGCTTTACAACACTTCATTATTCTGCAAAAATATTACTTCTGTGTGTACTTGAGGCCTACCATTATGGCAGACTTGGGGTACTCCTTGGCATTTTATGCTTTAGAATGGATTCCCAGACTTTCTACACTCAAATGAAAGGTCAAAGACCTTTCTGTTTTTAATGGACAGTTTATTCAAAGAAGGTTTTACAGAAAACATTCTGCATTTTCTTCATTGTTCTTTTCCCCAGACTGGAAGAAAAATAATCCTGACTGAAAATGATGTTTTCCTTTCTGCGAATTGAACACTTACAAAGATTAACTAGTGACTATCAAAACAGGTAGACTGAAAGAATCAAAATGTGACAGCAAATAAAAGAATCTGCCAGGGAATTTATGACTCTTGATTTTGCTCAGAGTATTATTTACACACAACTGATAATGGATTTTAGAGAAAACAGCTTGCTAAGAAAACAGTGCCTAAACAGGCTCCTGTCTAAGACCCTGACTTGGGAAATCAGAGTATTTCCTTTCCTACCCTGACACACTCTGTGGGAGGCCTGTCAGAGTATGACATGATCACAATCTAGGTATAGCTAATAGCTTTATATAGGAAAGACAGTACAAAAGAGGGCTGTACATGAAAAACAGATTATTGCTCCACTTCAGATATATCAACAGTGGAAGGTAAGTAGAGTTCATTGCTGTTCTTGTACTTGCTCAGAAAAATACCAGCATAGAAAGGGTGGAAGGAAAGTGTTTGCTGAGGGAGAGGTAATTGCCTACATTGTTAAGTTGTGTGTGTACTGCAAAAAGTCCAGAGGGGCAATTATTGAGATGTACACATAGGAAAAATGGCGCTCACTCATCCTTCCAGTTTTGCATCACAGAGTCCTAGTGAGGTCAGTGGTGTCAGAAATAAACTTGCTTACAATTATAGCAAAACTGACTCCTTTCTAAGCCCCTCCCCCCAAAAAAACCCTTCTCAAATTACAGGTTTGCCAAGTACAGCAATGTTTTAGCTCATGGGAAAAGCATTCACAGTTATCCAGTTTTGAAGTAACATGCTCTACAGTCCCATGTTCCATGGAAAGCCTCTCTGCACTTTACCACATCAAAAAACCTATTTATTAAGGAGTCGATCATATTGGTACCCAATTCAAGACAAATAATTCCACAAACTTGAAGCTAAGGCCACTCATTAGCTATTTTGATCACTCCTTGAAACTGTCAGTGCAAGCGTTTTGAGGGTAAAGAGATTCTCTTGCACAGATAACGAGAAAAAGAAAATCAAAGAAAATTATCAATAACGAGAGGAGAGGTAAAGAGGGTAACAAAAGTGAAAAGCAGAAGGGCAAAGTGAATGTAGAAAAGCAACAACGAAGGAAGTAAAACCAAGCTGCAGAGAAAAGACAGTCCAGGGTAGAAAAAAGATGCAAAAACCAATTTAAAAAAAAACAAACCAGCAGTCCAATTATAGAAGTTCCCTGTTGGTCAAGACAAGATTGCTGACAATTTCCTGCACTTTGAATCCTGCTGGTCACCTTGTATTTGTACAGAAACTCAGAGGAATGACATCATTTTTGGAAAATTAAAAAGGCAAGAGATATTTAACATCTGAAAGAGGGAGATGCCCTGAGAAAGAAAACAGGTCATTAAAGCTGCCCAAATGAACAGGGATAAGAGCACATTTGTAAAAAATTTCAACAACAGAAAAAAACAAAACCAAAACCGCAAATAAACAACAAAACCCACAAACAAACAAACAAAAAAACCAAAACCAGGGGAAAAATAGATTTAAACCTCCTAAATTGGATTACAATAAAACAAATTGCCTCTCCTAATTAGGTGTATTTAGGCAAGGTTGAAGAAATAGAGATAACCACATACAATGAAAATATTAAAGTACATGCAATTTTTGTAAACAAAGTTTAACAGGAATTTACTTACACAGGTAGGCAATCCCTTTAAACTCTTGAAAGATATCAACTGATATAATACACACACATTTCCAGCTTTATATATCTCACTTCTTTCAGTCTTGGAACTGATTTGTACAAGATGGAAATTCCTATTCTATGTAAGATAGCTCTGGGAACCTGTATTTCTTCTTTTTGATGGGACCCTGCTTTGTTGCTGAGTCCACCGGAAAGAACGAACTGTACCACAAGGCACCAACATGATTAACAAGCGTCTAGGTAGCGCTGAACCCGGAAGCAGCGTTAACCCTGGCATGCAACTCCCTGCTGCAATCACACCTTCTAATACACCAGCTTTGCACAACCTCAAACTCACTCAGAAACGTATGGTGGAGCAAAACAGAACAAGAACACAAAGTAGTTCAAGGAAAACTTGTGCAGACTGAAGGAGTTTCCCTTTCTGAGCCGTAGCTGCACGTTCCAGTGAAGAATTTGTCAGTCAGTCAAGGAAAAGTATATTCCGGATGCAGAGAGAGAGGTTATGAGAGGTTAGCCTTAGGGGCCACAGGCCCCAAATGACAATGGCAATTTCTTGTTGAAGCAGTCAGAAATTTCGCAGAATGTAGTGAGAAAGTCTTAATCCTTTGACAGGACAATGAGAAGGTTAAAAGGCAAAGTGGGGAAATGAAAGATTTATATCAGGCTTTGTACAAAAATCAAATGGTAATAAATACATTTTGTCAGCTGTGTTAAAATCATAGTCATGACAGTTAAGTATATGGCAACTGAAGAAAAGGACAAGAAAAAAAGGAAAGTAATTTATTCAGGAACAGAGGAATTAATAAAATCTGATTTTCTATTAATTGCTGTCTCCTGTTCCTCCCTTCCCTGCACCTGCAATAAACGTACATTACTGCCAGGTCCAAAACACACCTGGGGAGTGCCCTGTCATTTCCTCTCCTGCTTTTCTTTCCAACTTGTGCTGGGCAGAGGGATGAGATCTGAATTCTCCTGTTTCTCCCTCCTGAAGAGAACTGATGGGGTTATCTTGTCCTTCCCCATCCAGACATCTCCCTTCATGAAGTTTGCAGAAGTCGGTCATCTCTGAAGCGTTCCACCCCACTGTGGCTGAACTAGGTCATTAAAAATTAACAGGAGAGCTTGGTGGAGAGAGACCAACGCAATCATTTTCTTTCCTTCAGTGAGACTAAGGAAGAAAAACTAATTACCGGGGTAATTTTTGGTGCAGAATGCTGAGAAGGAAAAGCTCAGAAAATACTCAGGGGTACAAAACAATATTAAAAAGTGACAAATTGACAACTCTGGCTCAAGTAGCATATTCAGCTTATGCCATTGCAAAAAAAAAAAGGGATTAAATAAACAAATCATATGAAGAGATAAGCAGTTAAATTATAAAATAGTTGTTATAAATATATATATTTTTTACATTTATATATTTAAGTTGTTTAATATATGTATATTGTGTAAGTTGTTTAATATATTTATATATTTAAGTTGTTATATGTTATAAATATAAAACTTATAAAATAAATTCTAAAATTAAATTATAAAAATAGTGCGATTTAGGGTTAAAATCCCTCAACCTGGAGTTCAAAAGCATACGAGTGGGCACAAGGCAAGTCCGTGCCTACAGCACAGGACACGAAACTGGGCCACGTCTCTTCTCCCTCGTAACCCAGTGGTGCTCAGCAAAACCTGTTTTCTCTGCATAACAAATTATGGCAGCAAATGCAGTTTAACACAGTGAATTAGGTAACCCGGGGAACTCAGAAGCGGAAGGAAGCTGAGTAGAGCCCTCGGCCACGGGGTGGTGAAACCGCTATCGGGTGGTGAAGCAGCCACCCATTTCTGAACGCGACCGGTTGTTTCCGCTGGTTTTCCTCGGGCTCCTGCCGTGATCAGCACCTCTCACGGCCTCTGTGCCCTGACCGCCGTTCTCCGACGTCCCCTTAGCCCCTCCCGCCGCGCCGCCGGGCGGCCCTTGGGCGGCCATCCCCGCGCGGGGGAGGCGCGGCCATGGCTGCGCCCTGAGGAGCGAGAGGCGGCCCCGTCGGTGCAGCAGGTGCAGTGAGGCCTCCGACTGCCTTCACAAACCGAGGATCTGTGCTGCAGATGAACACTGCAGTGGTTTATTTTATAAAATTCTGCAAGCAAGCGTTCTAATTCTCAGTGATTAGCTTTGAACGTCTACCCATTAGTAACCTGCTCTTCCTAAGTAAAAATGAGCCAAATGAAATAACGTATTGATCCGCGATCCCACGAAAAATCCCTTAGTATTGTTTCATCAACAGGAATTAAATTAAAATGAAGTTAAGACAATTCACTTTTTTTTTTTCTCTCCCCTCTAGTTCTTCACTTTTGCCTAAAATGGCCAAGCAAAATTCTCCATCACTGGTTGAAGTTGTAAAAGAAGTTGCAGAGCGGCAGCATTTGCAGGCATCAGAGATAGAAAAAAGCAAAACAGTTCTTTTCCAATTGCAGGTAATAAGCCTTGTTTAGAGTAGTTTAATAATTTTTTTCTTTAGATGAAAGAAGTTAGGTGAAGAAGTGTTCCTATGAAAAAGAGAAGCTGATAGTAAAACTTTTTCTGGGCAAGTGCAACTATAAGGCAGATACTCAGATACATTTAGGCTTAGTCAAAACTGTGGATGTGTGCTTTTCTTTGTAAGGCCACAACAGAGCCAAGACTTCATTAGAGCAGGTGAAACTTTTAGTTTTTACCTGGAAAAAACCCAAAAAATCCCCAACAAATACTGAGCTGAACACACAAAGCAAATCCACAACAACTAAATGCAAAGTTAGGTCCTTTAAAATTATTTTTTATAATGATTTCCTAAGATATGTGGTGGGGGAGAGGAGGAGGGTGGGCAAGGAAGGATTTTAAAACCATTTTGTTTTTTTTCTTTTTGGCAGAATTTCACCAGACTATATAATCTTTTTGACACAAAATGCCTTTTTTTTTAAATGTGTGTTTGAAGTGGATATCCTAAATAGTCATTAAATACTGCCTTTATTCAGTACTGTTAAGTAGAACACTGCAAGAAGTTTTCTTCCCGTAATATAGTAAACACTGCAACAAAAATTATTGTCACCACACAATTTTAACAAAGGCATCTGTTTTCAAAAAAGCCCACAGAACTTTAGAGCCCTGGGTAATTAAGTTAGTTCATTTGTTGTTTCCTCTTTTATACCTATTTCTTTTTCTTTCAAAAAAGACCAAACCCTAGGAAATTTCATACAAACATTAATGTTAGAACAGCAAAATTAAATAATTAGGAACTTTTAATCAAAATGCAGAACTGCTTTTTCATCTTTACATCAATTCCCATGTGTACATGTCACAGAAGACGTGGAAAACAATAATTTCCTTTCCAAAATTTAACAGCTTTGCCACTAAGATCTCTTGCTTTCCTATCCTCAGTGAAAGGTGGCTGGCAGTGATAAAATCCTGTAAAACTGTAGCCCAGGATTTCTAAATTAAAAGTCACGCAGGAACTTTTGTTCTTAACAGTTAATAATGTCTTAATCTGTTCAAGACATTGAGTAAGCGATTTCATACCACTCGTAATGCTTCCATTAGGGAAAAGATAATAGGCGACATAAATCACAATGCTAATTATCTCACTTAGCGCACTACTGTTGGCAGGAACTTTGGGTGGCATTCATCATAGCTAACTTGCATGGCCTACAAATCAGAGCCTGTATTAGTCATCTAGGCTCCCTTGCTAGTCATCTAAGAGAGAGAAACATTTCTGAGGCAGCACTTCAGCCCTTCCATCTTAGATTTACGTGTAGATGTGTGGTCAGGGAGGCGGTTTAGTGGTGGACTTGTGCTGGGTTAAGGGTTGGACTCGATGATCTTAGAAGTCTTTCCAACCTTAATGATTCTGTGATTTCTTACGATGGGTGGAAGTACTACTTCTGCTTTTGTTCGCTTCTCATCAGTGAGATGAAGAGGCCTTTTGGGGGCTAGATACATATTTCTTGTGGGGTTGAAAATAGTGGGGATTAATCCAACTTTCAAATACTACTGTGATGAAGGCAGGATTAAAAACCTCAGTAGAACAGGCTAGTTAAGCTCCATCACCTAGAACACCACTTTATTTGTGTAGTTTTGTAAGTGATTTTTGGCGTCTTTAGTTATTTTTAGTCCAATTAGGACTTCACCAGATTTCAGCTCTAAAAAAACACTAGGATTGGGTTTGATCTACCACATTCTACGTATCTAGCAAATATGAGGAATTTAAAGTAAGTTCAAGGATACCTTATTTCATATTTTAGACTCAGTCTAAGGGGATAAAACTAAGTACTCTTGCATTGTGCCTCTAAGGTGATGATTTTAAGAAATGGAACTCTAATTATCTTCCATTCAAACCACTTTATGCAAGTTAAAAAGAAGATTATGTTGAATAAATATAAATTAATTACAGTGTTTAACTAGACACTTCATATCCTCCCAAAGAAATGTTCTTAAGATACCACTGAAATGTTTTACAGGCAAAGTTTCAGGAACTAGAAAAGGAAATGAATTCTATTCTGTTAGAAAAAAAGGCAACAGAAAGGGAAATACATCTGCAAGATGATGCCATAGAAGTGACAAAATATCACTGTGAAAATCTGGAGGCCCAAGTCAGAGCCCAGTATTCTGAAAATTTAAAGCTGAGGTGTGATGCAGAAACAGTGCAAGAAGAATTTGAGGTGATACTTGCAAGAAATAATGAATATCGGGAAAAAATAAAGAATCATAAACATCTCTTTTGGGAGATGGATAATAAAATGCCAATAATGATTGAGCTTGCTAAAAAGAAGGCTATTGTTGAAGAATTAAAGACAAAGAAAGAGGAGTTAATGCATGATCTCCAGAATCCAGAAGGATCTGTAATAAAACAAGTACAGGTATTATATTTCCTTTTTTAATTTTTTTTTCCTTTTATGTGAAATAATTTTGACATAGTTTTTATAATATGGTTATTTTGTCTAAGATGTTTATGGTTCATGGGAGATTGACTACATGAGAATATAGATAATTTATAATGCTACATTAATTAAAGAAATTTTTACTTTGGTATGCAATGAAAAAAATCAGCCACTGTTATCTCTATATTTTTGTAAAAGACAGGTTCATTACGTGTGATCGATTGAACTCAGATATGAAAAAAAATTACAGAGCTTTTTATCATTGGATAAACTTCCGCGGACACTTTTCAGAATTCTGTGAAAGCTTGCCATATTGTTACATTTTTCATGTAAGAACACACTATTCTTTAAACTTTCCTGTCAACAAACTACAGTTGAGCTGTTTGCCAAAAGGAGCAGATTTCATGAGATGGTGATAGAAAGAAGAAGAGGGCAAAAAAATATTTGTTTTATTATTTTAGTCTAACACTGTTGTTTTTACTTGACCCTAATTGCAATACTTAAGCACTACCACATATGAATTTTTCTCCACAAAATTTTGCCAGTATATGAAGTTGGAGTATGAAGTTGGAATGGAATCACACATGTTGTATGAAGTTGGAATGGGATCACAGATTTCAAGTCTGATGTAACTTGCATTATAGAAAATCTGGTGTTACTCTATTTATGTAAATGGATGAAAATTTGTTTGTACAATAGACCTTTAAATACTGATAAATAAAGACTTATTAACACTGTATTTCCCTATGAGAAGGAAAAATATATCTCAAATATTGCATTAAATATTCGTTGCTTTTACAATAAATTACACTTTAAACAAAATAAAGACTGCCAAAATGAGTTCAAAGTCCTATATTGTAGTTTTCGTATTTCAGATCAAGAATATATATTCTTACATGTCTAAACCCATGTTATAAAATATTTAATTATTAATTTTAATTCGTCTTCTTTAATTATTATTAATTTAATTATTATTAATAGGCTTATTGTGAAATTGTTTATTATGGTTCTTTTTCTCATCTCTATTAGTGGAGTGAGACTGTTAAAATGTGACATTTTTAATAAGCTTAACAGATGTACTGTGCCACATTTCAAGGAGTGGATTTCTATATCTTAACTTACATCTGCAGGAAGAAATTGCACTTCTAAAAAGTGAAATCACAACATTGAAAGATTTCATCAATCAAAAAACAGATTTGCTGGAAGAAGAGAAAAAAAAGCATGCTAAGCTTAGAAAAGAAATTGAGGTGAGTCATTTAAATAAGTTTTAATTACAGTTCTCCTGACAGAACGTAGATAGTGCAAATGAAGTTTGAAGTACTTTATACATCATTGCTGGCCATACATTGTTCAAGTATATACAGTAATTATGCTATCTTAAACTCTGGGTACTGACACCCTTTCTAAAATTCAGAGCTTTATTCCTGTCTTGAGAAAAATCGAAGTTAAGAACATTTTTTCTGAAGTCTTTTAAGAAGGAATTCAGCTGTGAAATTTTAGAATGATGTCCTGAAAAGAGAGGTCACTGAATGGTAATAAAGCAAAATGCGTCTTTTAAAATTTCTGTAATACTTCTGAAATACTTTAAATTTCACTGCTGATTTGATTATTCATGACTTGTCTCGTGGTTCCTGATAACTCATCAATGGGACAATCAATTGGACGAAGAAAATGGACTTCCCGTGAATCTCTCTAATTTGAGCTGACATTAAATTAGGAATAACACAGAAGCTCCTAATTAACTGCCAAGATAAAATTCTGATAAATGGTTAAAACCTTCTCTTTTAAATAATTGAGCTATATTTTATATTTTGTTTCTTACTAAAATCCTCTGTATGTCTAGATAGTTTTTAGTTTGGAGTTTCACATAATTATTCTTGTTAGTTCAAATAAATGCCACAAAATTTAATTAGCAAAGCTTGGTACTATAAAGATGAACTGATCCAAGGTTAGGTCTATTGCCCATTGTAAAATGTAGGAGGAAGAAAGAATCATTTTTCATGTGATAGGGAATGGCAGAGAATTTTTGACCTGAAAAGCAAAACACAGCTGCTTTAGAATAGGTCTGTGCTACTCAGCTTCTGAGAAAATATTTTATTACCAAGTTAACATCCTCCTAAGAAAGTTCTCTAAACTCAAAGTGAAATTAGGCAGCCTAAAAATAATGTTCTGTTCTGTTACTGAAATCAATTTAAATAAACAGTGAAGGTTAACCTGTTCTTTGGTTGTTTGGATTATACAATCTTTTTGTCTCAGAAGGAAGCAAGTTCAAAAACTAGATCTTTCAGGGTATTATTTTCTACTAAGAACTCTCTTTAAAACAATCCAGTTTTTAATATAAAAACTGACAATGGATAAGGAGAGACATTTATACCCAGCAGTCCTCAGCACAACTTGGGAAAGAACATTCAAGTCAAGCACGGGAATAAAGTGAGATGCTAGTCACATGGATGAGGTTCCATTGAGCTGCAGTGGTGGAATTCAGCTATAGACTGCTGACAGCTGAATGTGGTTGTTTGAATGCAAGTGACGACACATGAGTTAGGAAAGTTCCCATTATAGTCACTGGAGCTGTGGTTAGTGCAGTTGATGTGTTCTAGAGATCAATTCAGTCCATAAGCCTACGTGTTTACAGTAGGATGAATTGCATGGTATGGTCTTTCTAGACTTTATACTATACACTGGGTAGAGCAAACTGATCTAGTGAAAGATGTCCCTGGCCGTAGCCAGGGGTTCAGTGAGATGATCTGTGAAGGTCCCTTCCACCCCAAACTATTCTGTGATTCCATGATTAATAAATTTACAAAGAATATACGAGCTTCCAGGTTTCTGACCCTTCAGATAGAAGCAGGTCATTGCATCTGATCAATGAGTTTGCTCTTGCTTTAGGATTTCTGGAGCCTTTATTCAGCAATCATTTTAAGCACTCATCCAAATCTGCCCCTATACAGCCTTATACTTAAATACTTATAGAATTCCTGTTGAAGCCTCATTAATGGCTAAGCTGGCGCTCAGACAGGATGGATTGACTCTCATAGCCCTGGTGCTCCCACTTTGCTTCAGTGTTATTTCTGGTTTCCCACAAAGATTTCCCCAGCTAAGCACATGGTGCAGGAATGTAATTCAGAATGCCTTTCTAAAGCAGCTGAATTTTGGAAATTTAAAAATTTTTGATAAAATATCTTTCTGCAAGAAAATTGGTGCCTAAGTGTCCATTTTTTTTTTCCAAGTAAAGTCAGTGATCTGACATTGCTAATTAATTAAGTCTACAACTAATTCATACCTGAGATGCTTCTCATCAGTCAGGGTACTGATAGACTCTTAAGGCAGCTTGTGTACCTTTTCTCACTCCCTTTCCTGAATGCCATCCCCACCACCCATCTCTTGAAGAGCAGAGCCTGTTCCCAGTCTTGGACAGGGATGTCAGCAATAAATCAGGGTGGTTACCTGTGTAGGGACAAGACTTCAGTCATAAGGACTAATTCAAGATGTCCACAAGTAATAGAAAATTTGTCGCTATGTAAAAATAATAAGAAAAAGAAAGCTTAAAAGACCGTCTCTGGCCGTACTGCCCTCTTTCCCCTATGTCAGTGTGCAGCTACATTATTCTTGCAGATACTTGCCTATCCTGTCCTTAGATGACCCCAGTGGTGGAATATCATGAGTGCCCAGACAATTTTTTCAAAGGGTTGACAAACATGTTCACAAGGACAGTAAAAAGAGCAGTTTTTTCCCTCCCCTCTGTCCCGTAATCATGTTAGTGCTCCCTCCCTCAGCAGATGTGCCAGACAGTTCCCAATAATGATGCTGGGGACACGTTTCTAAAAAAAGCAGATAATATTGATCATAGATGTTTCAGTGTCATACAACGTAGTCCTAGTGACGTTCAGATCCCCCAAGCACTCGTTCAGATGAGAGAATCTGACAGCATCCCTTGAAAAGTTGTGAACGATTATAGTGAAGAGTCAGGCAACGTGAAGGAAAACAGCCCATCAGCAGTAAAAGGTGGCAGTGTAATTTATAAAACATCAGTGAGGGAGTTCCTTAGCTATATGTAAGATTTAGGCAGCAAGACTTGCAGGAAGTCACTGGCAGTGCTGTAATTCTGATGCAGCTGTACACCATCATGTGTACGTTAGGTACAGTGTAATAACATTTCAATAAGCAGACACAAGAGTAATTATACATGACCACTCATATACCATTCAAACTACGGTAAGCAAGCCCAAACTTTCATTAAGGGAATACCCGTTATTTCCATTTTTATTATAGTCAATGCTTTTACACTTCAGAATGCAAATCTTCAGAAGGTTGTCTGCAGCAGCCACTGTTCTCCATGTAAGGCAGCAATGAGGGCAAAATTGGTACACTACTGCATTGCCACAGTATTGCCTGCCTATGAGAAACGTACTGTTTTAAATACAATGCAACTACAAAGCTTCTACCACAGCCATCTACATTACCACATTTGTATTCTCATTTATAACCAAACACACTTGTCAAAGAATGATTTTTTTTTTTTCCTTTCTCACCTCTCATTCTGGAGCCTGAAATCTTCCATATATGAAGTGTTGCTACTATGTGAGATGCTGACTCTTTGGGTGGGATTTACAATGTTAAATTTTAGACATCTACAGAACAGATACCAATACTGAACTCTTCATTTAAGGTCTTAGTGAGAGAGTTTTTCTTTCCTTATTGGGAAAGTGAGGCATGATTCATATTGTCCTAAAGCAGACTTAGATGAATGGCTTCCTAGATGTCTGTGTCTCTTCAGCAACAGAAAGTAAATGTGTAATGACATGGTCAAATATTAGAATGAACCCTTGGACAGAGTTAAGGGAGCTGAACCCACCTCTGTAAATAGTTTTATTTGAATGAAATTGTGAAGTGAATTTTATTCTTTTTTTTTAGGTACAGAATAAAAGATATGATGCTATTTTAAAACGTTTGCATTGCCAACTGAACAAAGTCCATTCAAATAAAAGACAATGGCACTGGAACATTCAGCAGTTGGAGAAGAAGGCAACAGAACTAAGAAAGTGTCTTGGAGTAGTGGAGTTACAAAATATCATGTAACAAACATAACAAAGCTAGAATGTAGGTAATCTTTTCCAGGCAGGGGAGGCTTTTGTTGTGGAAATACTACAACTCTTAAATAGCATGGTAACTGGGCCAGACCTCATTGATTTCTTTCTTTTTAAAGTTTTTTGCATTTTCATTTTCTAGACTAAACTAAAATGGTTTTCTGTTTGGTTGGGCTTTTTCGGTTTTGGGAGTTTTGTGTTGTTGGTTTTTGGTTTTGGTTTTGGGTTTTCTTGTTTGGTTGGTTTGGGGTTTTTTTTGGTGGTTTTGTTTGTTTGTTTGTTTTTCTGTTTTTTTTGTTTGAGTTTTTTTTGTTTGGTTGGTTGGTTTGGTTTTTGGTTTTGGTTTTGTTTTATTGTCACCAAAGGCCATCCAGGAAAAAAGTTATTGACACTTCTGGGTGTTTTCAAAATATGTGTCAATTTTATCTAAAAAGTTATTTTTTCTAAAAGTCAACCAAACAAGACCTGAGAAGTTCCTTTTTATTTAATTCGGTCTTTGAAGATTGGGATCTACATTGTTTTCCCTACAGAGAAATGAATATCTTTGTATATTTGCATTCCTGAGAGACCGAAGTTCTAGATATTTTATCCTCGCTCCTTTTCATTGCAACTTACTAAGGAGCTCTGGAAGCTCTGATGGCCTGTATTTGCTGTGTGGGAAATTCCTATAGCTGATGTAACAGGCTGTTTGCCCTGTGTCTGCCAGGGTGTCCTAGCATGGGGACAAGGAGGACATAGGCTGTTCAGCTGTAAAAGGCTTAGGAACAAGTACGCTCAGAACTGGGCTTCAAATAATCTGACTTTAACTGGTCTAATATGTGTTAGCAAAGAGGAAGGAGTAGGTTAATAGGGTACTACATCTGGATAGCTTTTAAAATGGAACAACTCACCCTCAACAGATAGGAATGTGTTATAGATGATTGATTATAGAGGAACTTATTATCTAGAGGATCTTAAATAACTAGTGTCAGCCATCTAACATCTAAGTGTTTAATATTTGGTACGATGACTCAACATAAATGACAACCTATTAAAAATTCTTGTTAAAATAGTAGTGAACAGTAGCCATTTTCCTTTGCCTTCTTTTTATTATGTGCTTGGCATTTGCAGAATTTACATACTTTCTCTGCTCTTACACTTAAGGTAGTAGTTCTATTTGGACATAACTTGTAAAATTTATCTCTTTTATGAAAGTAGCTTTTTATTTAAGGTATTATCTCGAATAATTTAGATTTATCTTTACTCATTTATATAAAATGAAAACTTAAGCAATTTGACTATTTACTCTGAAAAAATGTTAAACTGCCTATATATTGTTAGCTTAGGAAAGCAAAGCTTAAAATGCAGTACTATTATTATATTCATATATTCATGTATATTTACATTTCCCTTAATATGTTATTTCCCTTTAATATAAAGTTATTTTAAGCAATATCCTGGCTCATGAAGGCGCTCTATCAACATTGTTAGACTCTGAAGGTTTTTTGCCATGATCTTTTTCCTTTGCAATAGTATCAACCAGTCTGCTTTCATTAAAACAATAAAGTAGAAATGAAAACCTCAGCATCCTATGCTATAATAACAGTATGTCCTGAATATTGAGTCTTATCAAGTATGTAGCATTACTGTAACATTACAACTGTTCATCCCTACACAGACTAAAACAGCATGCACTTGATGCATGTGTATCTTCTAGAAAGGGATCCAAATTTGAAAAAATCAGAGATTTTACTGTTATTGTTATTTTCAGTGATTAACTGCTCTTCTCTTGTTTTTCATGATTTCTAATTTCAACTTTTTCAGCCATCCAGTGAAATGAATGTACTTTATATGAAGTAGTTTCTCTCCATAAAAATACTTATGTACTGTCTTCTTGATGAGTTAAATAGTTCAAGTGTTCCAAAGTTATTGACTGTCAGTCTGACCAAGAGCTTTAGCTTAATGTATACCCCCAAAAGTGGTAAAATGCCTGACATTTTCAGGGGATTAAGACTATATGTACCTTTTACCACTAATATTATCTAGTTTTCATATTTAGTTTCTAATTATTTAAGATCCCCAACAGTTAATCCACCAAAATATGTTTTGTATCAGTCACACAAATTACTTAAACCAAATTCACTTTAACATTTATTACCACAGTTATAAAATCACAGTTTAACCTTGCACTTTATTACCAGTTGAAAACAACTCTAGCAAACAATCCAAACCTTCTCATGTAACAAAAATATCACACCTTGGTTTTTCTTTTTCACCAATGAAGATGTTCATTGTTACTTCCCTGGGTATTAGGGTGGTTTCTATGTATCAACACATACAGCCTGACTCACTCATATCAAATACCTTGGACTTACATTTTCCTTGTTCCTTTTCAAAAATCTCATTGTTTCAGTATCTCAAATTAATTTTATACTTCTTTGTGCATGTTTTGAAGTTGTTTAATATAATTTAACAGAAATGCATACAAGAGCTGTATTTAATACTCCTGTTAGTGCTCCCTTCTCCTATGGAGAGGCCTACCTATCATTCAAGGCCCAAGTTTTCTCATACTCCTTTTTGCTCATTGCAAGAGAGCTCACCTACTGGGGCCCTTGACCCCTTCATGGGATCTCAGCTAACAAAGGTGTATTTCTCCTTTTTATTTTGGTGCAAAGCTTTCTTTTTTAATATACATATTTAAATGGACTCAGCTTATCTCAGTTGTGTCTCAAATACTCTGGTAACTACCAGGGATTCCCGGGTAATAGCTAACTCCATATCAAAAAGATCCCTGGCCATTTGTGATTCAAACTCATCTGTGCTGCTAGAAAGGAGCTGCTGCATGGTTTAGCTGTATCCCCAAATGAATGGTGGAAGCTTTGGAAATTAAAGCATGCTTCAGCTCCTCAGCTTTCTTGCCACAAAATGTAGCTATAGTTCAAGTACTTAATGTGTCTTGAATATGTATAACTGTTCTGCTCTCATTTAATTAAGAAATTATGCTAGAAAGAATTTTATCTTTAATCCCATATCAAAGAAAAATACTATTGTTGGTCGTCATACAAATGCCTATGGAATTTACTATGAATAACCCATTCATATGTTGTAGTTTCTTTAACAAATTCTTGGAAATGCTTTATCTAGTCCTTAGTCCATTTGACTTATGCTTTACTGACTATATAGAGTATGAACTTTATAATACAAAGTCCATGATATTAAAAAGTCTGTTTCTTTTTCTGAAAGTATTTGTTATAAGATATGAATGCTGACATTGTCATCCTGCATCACTGTCCTAGTTAATTGCCACAATTATAATCTCTCATTCCACATAAACACACCATTTGTGTGTTTAACTCAACTGCCTTAAACACCTGAGTTGATTCATTTCTAATCTTGGAAGCTTTGTCCTGAGTTCCCACCAAACTTCTACTTTAGTCATTGACTGCACCTGAAATCGGTGTTCAGTGCTAAACACCACATTTTAGAGGATCAAATACATTTTGCACACTTCCAATAAACAGAACTTTGTATCACACAGTACTTACATATTTTCCCAGGTGCAGCATTTCACATTTAACATTCAGTATTTAACAGATAATAAATATAAGAAACATTTTACTAAGGAATGGCAGTTAATTGGGAGAAAACCTGATCTCAAAAAAAAAGCTGAAATGAGGAAATATAAAAAACTCCCTTCTCTAAACTATCAGCATTCTGTGCAACATATGAAAAAAAAAGAAATTTATGTAGTTTTTTATAAAAGTGTCTAATTCCAACAAATCCTGGCAACCTGCTGAGGCCAATTTTTCTTCATATAGTGTTAACCAGTAGCAGGTTGATCTCAGGGCATTTTTTCCCTTAGCAAGCAAGCAAGCACAGACAGTAGGAGAATGATTTATTAATTTTGGGAAATAACTTAGTGAATGTACTTTGTATTGTTATTACATGAAGCTTTCCCATCTCCTGTTGGAGAACCATGCTGCCGAACCCATATAAGTCATTTCTGAGGATAGGTGTGGAGCGAAGGGAAGAATTTTTGTCTTCAGTACTCTGCAGGCAACAGCAAGAGGAGTGATTGCCCACTCTGAAAATCAAAACAGACACCAAGCAGGGACAGGCATGTAAATAACTGAGAGTGTAGGAAAACTTATCAACCAACGACTCCTATCCACCACTTAGCAAAAGTCTAAAGCACAGGAAGCTGGATTTATTCCAACAATATAATGTAATGAAAAGGAAAATACTGGGGGAACTCCGCACTTGACAGGGAAACAATACAGCTGTTGAATCATTCTTGTCATGCAGCAAATGCACTGGTGTATGATAAAGGGAAGGATTTCCCCATGTTTTAAGCTGATGCTCCACAGGAAACCCTTTCAGTGACTCAACAACCTCAGGTGCTGAAGCAGAGGAAATGTGTCAGATAATGCAGACATACCTGCTAAGATCGCTGCTCTCACTAAGACTACACGAGATAAACAACAGAAGAGGGAAGGCGGGTTAGAGATAGATGCCAGTGCTGTGCTGCTTTGCCTCTCTTGCAGTTTGCTTTGGCCCTCAGGAGAGTCACTTGCAGAGAGCTGTGTGCATGAGTGTGGCAGTGAGTAGTGCACGCTCTTCTACTATAGTTCTTACACAATGCTTCAGAGGAAGAAGAAATCATGACCACACTATGCATTGATGGGACATCATGCTGCTGAAGGTGGGGAAAATCCCAACTTTCAGAACTCTTACCTGATTTTCTGAAATGGATGAATATATCTTTACCAAAGTAATTAATAGATCCTTTGTTAAAATGAGGCTGTAGTATGTAGGTCTGAGTCATGTGGAGGCAGTGACTTCTTGCAGAATTCCAAGCAGTACTGAAATATTTTTCTTTTAATTGTCTGCTTTGCAGGAGGCAAACACTTTTTCAGGAACACAGTTAAGGCAATGCAATGAACCACCTCAGAAACATGGATTGAGCAAAACCAATTCACAGCATCTTTAAAGTACCACACTCAACTATTTCATTTGGCTTTTTCTAGCATTTAGAGGAAGCAACACATAATGACCTAACAAAATGAAGAAAAACATTAACCACAAACTGCAAAGGGCAAACCAAGATAAACAAAAATATCTTTAACTACCCCTGAAAAGAAATTGAACTGCTCATGCCCCATCTGGATGAAAAGGAACCATCCAGAGAGACCTGGACAAGCTTGAGCAGTGGGCCCATG